AAGGAAGCAAGCAGTTCAGTCTGAAGTACCTGTCTGCTTCATATCCTGTCTCTGAAACCTGTTCTGCCCCCTCCGCCACACTTGGTGCCATTGTCATCTCCACATGCAGCAGAGGAAGGTGACCCAGAATAGTACCAATTCAGGTGGCAGATGGGAGAATGACAGGGCTGAAGGCTTTCCCAGGGAGAACAGTCCCGGCAAAGAAAAACCTAGCATATTTGGAAGAGGGATGCCAGCCTAACCATTACCTTCTATGCTGTCACTATTGTTTTATTTTGTTTTACATCAGTAAAAAGTGACCTTTCCCCATCTGGCATGGTGGTGTGCCTCGAGATTTTTGTCATGAAGCAAGTGTGCCGTTGCCCAAAAAAGGTTGGGAAACACTGGTTTAGGGGTATGCATACCCTTGCATCCCGCCAGAAAAAATGCAATGGGTGTGTGGATCCAGAATTGGCATCCACAGTCACTTACGGACTCACTGCTAAAACCCTGTTTTGGAAGACAATCTTACTTGGCTATGAGCAATCGCCAAAAAAGTAGATATTTATCATAGATCCCAGTTGCCAGCTGGATTTTTCTGTGTGTGTGTGTGTGTGTGTGTGTGTGTGTGTGTTCAAAATTTGCCTCATCTTCACATTGGTACTTGTAACGTCAGAGGTTGCAGTTGCAGGGTGAGTTGGGAACATGACTGGAGAAAGAGTTAACAGCTTGCAAGGACCTGGAGAGTTCAGAGTGAGCTTTGTGGCTGTTGGCAGATTGTGAACCTGGTGAGAGCCTGCTTTAGTTTGGCACATTTCACTATGAACACATAGTCTTCCCCAGAGCCGATTTCTTGCATGTCAAATTGATGTGGCGGTGCCAGTTTGATCACAATTCTCCAGTGCTCGAACGACGAGAGGTGGCAGAGGGCGCTTAGTTCCCTTGGAATAATATTTGTAGATTTGACTGAACTTGAGAGGAGAGTGGGGAGTTAAGAGGTGGGACTTGCATATTTCATTAAGCCTACTATCCTATTTTCTTCCGTAGTCGGGTCAGTGATATAATTGTGTTATGCATTTCCAGAGCAACACAGGGGACGTGAAAGTTACATTGCACAGATACCATCGAGCATAGTAGCAGGTCTGATTGCTGGACCATCTACAACCAGCAGTGATCATTTTAGCGCAAGCAGGAACGGGGGACCTGCAGCCCTCCAAATGCTGTTGAAGGTCAGCTCCCACCAGCCGCTTACCTTCATGGCCTGGGATGGGAGTGGTAGTCCAAGAACATCAACAGGTCCATGGGTTCTCCATCCTGAGGAATGAACCCAGAACCTTTTGCATGCAAAGACTGTTCTCTACCACTGAGCCACGACCCTTTGTGGTATCACTAGTGTAGCACCGAGGATATTGCTTCCGCTCACTGCATTATAAGGCCACTTACATCTTTAGTTCCTCCCTGATGTCTTCCACCACAGGTGACCTGTCTTTGATGAACTCTGCTTGTAGCTGGTTTGCATGTAAGGTTTCCTCCAAAATGAGCCAAAATTGCTGTGAAATAGCTCTCTGGGGTCCCTCCAGACTGCTTTTGTTTGTTTGTTCATTTCGCAGGTGTATTCTGTACTGTCACTGATGCATTGATGCAATAATGGTGCTGTTGTAAACAGTGCATTCAAGGCGGATTTATACTGGACTGTCCACACCTCATTCTGTTGTATTAGTTGTTCTGCGATGCTTCCTTACTATTATTGTGGGACTGCTATCTGGAAGGGCACCCTTGCCCTGTAACACTACAAAAGTGCATCTGGGAGGAACCAGATACCAAAACCTTGAACTCCTTGGAGGACAAGTTGGGATATAAATGCAGTAAGATAAGTAAATAAACTTTTGCAGGCACAAACAGTATCGAAAGTGGGATTGTGTATAACTGCCCTGAAAACCACAACGAATGCAGAATAAGAATGGTGTTGCCAAATGACTGAAGAAGCATAAAAAAACAGAGAACTTCTCCAAATACTGTTTTCCCTGGAAGTACCCCTTGTCACTTTACTCCTTAATCTTATCTCTTTTGCAGTGAAAATGTTTGCTCAAAAGTGAAGCACCCAGCTCCATCTTATCAGGCAGCTTTCCATTGCGTGCCTTGGAAGGAAAACAAAACAAAGGAAAAAGAGCCCTGTGTGGGAAGGAGTCTGTGTTCCAAAAACAAACCATGCAAATAAAGGGCAAAGGGGAAAGGTGTGTTCCTGGGGCAAGATTTTGGAACGCAGGCATTTTCCTTTCTTCATCTCGATCCACAACTTTCCACAGATGTGTGCAGATTGACAGAGGAGACTCAGGAGGCAACGATCAACCTGTTCGTCTTTCAGAAAAGGCCCAGCCACATCAAGGAAGTTGGTGTGTGAGAAAATCAGCTGTGTGTTCACAGCAGAGTGTGCAAAGCTAAAGCTGGCTCTCAGCAAACAAAGAGAGTCAACCCCAGAGATCATACGCTACAGAGTGAATCATGAGAAAGTGCCATGGTCAACCTGATCATGTGGAATTTGACCAGTGGCCCTTTGTCTGGAGGTCTCTCTTGCCTGCCACCTGTCCCCCAGAACTGCTGGTGTCAAGGGCACCTGTTTTATGATTATCTCAATAGCTGTCCACATGAGAATGGGTTAACATCTAACATTAACTTTCCGTTGTGCTCCTGGGGTACTGGAATTTATTGGGGAGGCCTTGATGGATATCAAGGCATTTATGCTGCATCCAGAGCAGCTTGCAAATATTGTTCGTAAGCTATTCCCTCAGGCTTATAGTTTAAAAGGACATGATGCTCAAGGAAAAAGCCAGTGGGAGGGAGGAGGGGAAAGGAAGTTCAAACACTGTAAATGAACATTGGGGCATCTGGTAAACTGCTGCAGATTATGATCATATCACTGCTGTGGGAAATTTCCTACCAGAGCTTGGAGCACTGACTGCAGCCCTTTTGTGAGTCCAGAGCCCAGGAGTGAGACACAGAAAAAGTAAACGGTTACCTGATCAGGAATTTCCAGTTTATTCCATACTTGAGTATAGAGGTACAGTTATAGCAATCTGGGAAGCTAGCAAGAAAGGGGCTGGACCACAAACAAAGGGCTCTGAGGTTTTTATACCCATTTGAAAACAAGCATAATTTTAAGGGCCTCATGTGCTATCTGTCTCCTCATGATGCCACTAACTACAATTTGGGCTGGTCTAATTTTTTTCAGCTATCTCGTTTTTTGTTCTGCCTGAAAGTATGTGTGACCCTGAGTTTGTAACAGTGAGTGTTACTTTTACTTAGGTTGATTGTTTCATAGACATGATCATTAAATTAATTAGCTGCTTTTTTGCCACGGCAACTCAAAGCGATATGAAGTATTTGGCTGCTGGGCTCAATCCAGCAAGGATCACATTATGTTTTTATATGAAAAACAACAACTGGAAGCTGTGTGACACGTGTCCCAAATCGCACAGAATTTACGTATTACATTTAGAGCCTGCCTTTCCTCCAAGGAGCACAGGTGGGGCACATAGCTTCATTTATCCTGGCTTTATCCGCACAACAACCCTGGAAGGTAGTTTGGTTTGTGAAAAACTGACTGCTCAAGGCTACCAAAGCAGCTTCATGGCTGAGTGAGGATTTGGACATTGGTGTCTGCAGCCCTAATCTAAAACTACCCAGCGTAGGTTGTGTAGGGTTTACGCCCATTTGACAGTGCCAAATCTCATCTCCAATTCCAATAGGCGCCTGAGAGAAGCGTGCGCGTCTACAATTTTTGTACCTCTATGGCTCAGATGGACAGCTTTCCTCCCCCGCCCCAAGATGGCCGCCACCCCTAATTAAAGTTGCCATACGCCGTTTGCATAAGCATTCCATAGAGACAAAAAGGCAAGACCGTCATCATGCACATTTCCTGATTAACATAGCAACAAGCTGCGACGGGCTTCAAGGCGGTGCCGTTCTAGGACTAGGTATCTCTGTGGTGGAACCTGAGCTTTGAATTGCAACGTGAGAGGAAAACAGGTTCCGCCCCGTCACTGAGGGAAAGCGCACACAAATGACAGCTAGTGTCACTTTGCACATTTGCTATATCTATGGGCGCTCCCGCTGGGATCCAACCACAACACAGGACCCTGCTCCGCCTCCTCCGTCACGCGACGCGCCAGAGATGGGAGGAGTTAACCTTAGGCCTAAAGGGGAACATGGACGGCGTGAAGCTGCAGTGCAGACACACTTCCGGTTCCCAATTAAACGCGGGAGGGAACTCAGTGCCACGCAATAGGCCAGGTTTCCCCAAGTAGTCTGGCGCCCACCAAGTGTTTTTGGGACTACGGGTCCAATCAGTCTTCAGGCATTTGGTCGGCCACTGGTGAGAGGAGGATGCTGGAGAAGATGGTTCTTGGCCGCCCATTGCGTTCTTATCTGCCTTTACGCTTATCAATACGCGCTGCGACCCACGCATTATGTGCCTTGCACCTGGCGTTGCTCGGAGAATATAGGAAACAAAAACACGGACATACGAGTGGTTAAAACTAGGTTCAGCCACTGTGGCCCTGCTCCGCCTCCAGCCACTGTGAGAACTTGTGTGTCATCCCAAGATGCTGCCTTGTACCGAGTCAGGCCCACTGGCCCGCTAGCTCAGTGTCGCCTGCACTGACTGGCAGCAGCGCAGGTTCCTTCCCCGCCCTGCCTGGGGATGCAATTGGGGAAACCTTCTGGCGGGCCTGATCCTCCGAGACTCTCCTCGTCTCCTTCCGACCCGACCTTACGATCGCTTTCCACCCGCCCCCTTCAAACAGCTACCGGAAGTGAGCGCTGCGCAGCAGGTTCCCCTTTCCTCCTCCGTTTTGCTCCCTTTTGTTTGGCTCGATCTCTAGGGACGCACCCCGCCCCATCGTCCACCGCCCCGCCCCTTCCCACCCTTCGTCATCACGCGCGGGGGAGGAGGCGGGGCGATGTTTTGAACGGCGAGTGGGGGTTGGCGGGGGCGGAGTCAGTTAATTGGCGACGTCACGTGATTCGGCATGGAGGCGGCGGCGGCGGCGGCAGCTGAGGCGAGCAGCCTTCTGAGGAGTCGGCGGCGGCGGCGGTGTCGTCGTCGGCGCTGCTAGTGTCGCGAGGCCGGAGGGAGCGCGAGGGCGGCGTTGGCGTTGGCGGCAGCCTGCGCGAGGCTCGGGGTCGGGGAGGGAGGGAGCGGGCAGCCTCTGGGCGGCGCCAGGACGAAGCCCCGGGGGAGGCCCCGGCCGGTGAGTGCGGCGGAGGCAGCGCCCGCCATGGACTGAGGGAGACGCGATGGGCAACAAGGAGTCCCGCATCGGCTTCCTCACCTACGACGAGGCCCTGCGGAGGGGTGAGTGCTGGGGGGGGCAGGCGTCTTAGGATAATGAGGGGGAGCTTTGCTAATGAGGTGGGGGGAGTTTTGGGTCGGAGGGGGCGCTTGACAGGGAATGGCGGGGCTCCCTCTGAGAGGGGTGTGTGTGAGAGAGTGAGTTTTTTTTACATTTGAAGTTGACCAAGGGATGTAAATGACATGTAAATGAGGCGTGTGGGAGCGTGTTGTTTCTGTTGTCAAGTGGTTTTATTTTTATTTTTTTATGTTGCTCTAACCCGCCCTGGGACCTCCCAGTGAAAGGTAAATCTAATAACGGTGTGACAATGTTAAGTGGGCATGACAGTGAAAAGGGGTGTTGGGTGCGCTAACGATATGCAGATGTAGGCAGGCACGGTAATGAGGTGAGAGGGCATTGGCTGGGCAGGGAGTGCGCTAATGATATGCAGATGTAGGCGGGCGTGGGAGTGTGGGAGGGCGTGGGTCTTAAGGTGCATGCTAATTATGTGCCAGTGGGGGTGGGCACGGTAATGAGGGGCTATGCCAACAGAGGAGTGGACTGACTTCAGGTTATCTTTTGAGTGGAAGGAGGTGGAGGGATGTTGAGGGTGGACATCTGAGGCCTCTGTTCTTAGGAGAAATGGCAAGCTCCCTTTGGGAGGGTGGTTTAGGTCAAGAGTTGCAGGGGTCAAGTGGGGTGTTTGAAGAGAGAGGAATGAGGAGTATGTGGGGTATGGGGTACAGAAGGGGTTAAGGAGGAGTTTGTAGGATGGTGGATGAGGGGGCTTTAGGGGTAGGAGGTTGCGGGGTTAAGACTGTCTTACTAGGAAAGAAAGCTGTGAGCATGGTATGCTTTCTGTTTGTGACAGGGACAGTTTATTTATTATCTATTCAATTTATATACTACCCTTTATCCAGAGATCCCAGAGTGGTGTACAACATAAAAAAACACATAGTTTACAGAGCAAAATAAAAAGACCATAAAACAATCAAAGAAAATCATAATAACAGGTCCCCTTCCTGTCCAGAAAGGGGTGCAGCTGGACCACCAGCCAAAGCTGATGGAAGGTACTTGCTACTTGGGCCTCAAGCAGCAGCAATGGGTCCGGGAGCACCCACAAGCTGCATACCTGCTTCTTCAGTGAGAGTGTAATCCCCTTAAGAGCAGGCAGTCTCCTGTTCATTTGGTTTAGGGAACCAATCGCTAACAGTGCCTCAGTCTTATTTGGATTGAGCTTGTTGACTCTCCTCGAGTCCATTACAGAGGCAAGACACCAGTCCAGCACATCCACTGCCACACCTGGAGAAGTAAAGGAGAAATAGAGCTGTCTGTCATCAGCATATTGCTGACAGTGTACTTCAAAACTCCATATGACCCCCCCCCCCACTAAAGCAGTTTCATTTAGATGTTAAAACAGCCTAGGCGATAAAATTGAACCCTGAGGAACCCACATTGAAGGTTTCATGGGGCCAAAGAGCAGTCCCCAAGCACCACCCTCTGGAAACAGACATCAAAGTAGGGCCAGAACCACTGTAAAGCAGTCCCACTCACCCTCAATTTGGATAGCCTCTCCAGGAGGATACAGTGGTCGATGGTATGAAAAGCCGCTGAGAGGTCGAGGAGGATTAACAAACATCTATTACCCCTGTCCCTCCCACTGACTGGGGTCATCATATGAGGCAGCCAGGGCAGTTTTTGTGCCAAAACCAGGCTGGAACCCTGATTGAAATGGATCTAGAAAATCAGTCTCCTCCAAGAGCTCCTGAATCTTGTCCGTGACCACCTGGTCAATAACCTTGCCCCCCAAATGGAGGTTGGCAACTGGACAGTAGTTGCTTAGGTTCTCAGAATCTCTAGGGATAGTTTCTTAATGTTAAGTGAAGCCCTGTGGGGTAAGGCTGATGGGCAATAGGAGTGTGGGCAGAGACTATGGAGAGAGATACATTTCGTTTGTTGAAAGTAGTTATATCCTGCCTTTCCACTACTATTTTCAAGGTGGCTCACTGTGCACCATTCAATTTTTTAAATTAAAAAATCCCACTTATGGGGTGAATGCAGCAGTGTAGGTGGTCTTAGAGTTAATGTATGTCTGCTGGGGGTTGGGCGAGTTTTCCATGCATGTTCTTTGCAGCAGGGATTATGAGGCTATATGAAGCATATGGATCAGACTTGCATGGTAGTGCATTTCAGGTGCATGCTGAATGTAGGTGGGGAGTATAAATCAGGTTAAGGTTGCCAAACGGCTTTTGGGGAGTGGGATTTGCTTTTCATAGGATTACTAAGATTATATACTTTTACTTTTTAACTCTTTGGATATTTGGAAGCGTTGTATGCATACTGATTATTATTAGTGTTTGTCATGGAATGGAGGAGGAAAATTGAATGGCCTTATGAGGCTGGGTGAGTGGGTTTGGCTCAGATTCCCCAGACGTATGGCACTGGGATGACAATAAAGATGCAGAAGAGAGGATGGTGTCAGAGAGTGCAATATTGCTACGATGGTGAGCTGGGGGTCAGGTTTCATGAAGAGTCAGGTAGATTTTATGACAACTGATGGTTGTAGGTAGGAGGCACAGGTGGCTCTGGAGGAAGAGAATGAGGATCACTGCTTGAATTCCTGGATGACGGGCAGAGGAGGCAAACTCCTCTTCCTTTTTGTTGTACCCTCAATCTTTTTGATTTAACCACACTTTTGTGAGGGACATACAATATGGTTAAAGCTAGGAGGAGATGGGGGGGGGCTCATCTGGGGATTTCATAAGAGGTGCCTACATTCTGTACACTCCCCAAAATCAAGCTTGGTGAGAACAGAGAATGAGGCTGAGTGGAGATACTGATTTGTGGGTGACGTTGAAGCAGGGGGTGGGAAAGCTGTGGCCCCCCAGATGTTGGATTACAACTCTCATCTTCCCTCACCACTGATCATGCTGACTGAGGCTGATAGGAGTTTCTTTATCGCATTTATTAATAACCCGCCTCTCAGGACAACAAATCCTTCAAGGCAGTTTACATTAAATGACACCGAAAAGAACTGCAATAAACTATATCAGTATATTAAAAAGTCATCAGGATCCTTCCCGAAGGGCAGCTGTTGGTGGGTCAGCATGCATATGTTTGTGTATGGTGGGAAGTTCATCTGGAGCAGGTTCTGAAGTGGCTTTCACCTGTATCCTTCTCTGTCTGGGAATTTAAAAAAAAAGGAGTGCCACAAGTTTCCCATCCCTGGCTTAGGAACTATGACAAGATGTCTGGTTGTGGCTTGAGAGTTAAGTGGTTGCATGGAATTAATTATAAGAACAACAATATTGTTGTTTCTTTGTACCTTCTTGTTCCTCACACAGGAGCCCAGGGCAGCTAGCAACAATCACAAAAATGCAGCCTTCTAAAACCAATATTAAAGTTGCAATCCAAACTAACATAAAATACGCTACAGTTATAACATGGTCAGCAATACTGTTAAACCAACAGAGCCCCCGCTGTTTTGTTCCAAAGGCAAGCAAAAATTTGTTGTCTCCTGAATGAGATTCACGTAGGACAGTGGTTTCTAACCAGTGTGCTGTGGCACCCTGGGGTGCCTTGAATGATGGTCAGGAGTGCCACTGTCCTTCTTTTCTCTTTCCTTCCCTCCCTCCTCTGATGCCCTCTCACGTCTCCGCCTCCCAAATACTTGCACAGCTGTTTATTGCAGCAGCCCTGACTATAAGCTCTGCAGGCGAATGGTGCCTCTGGGAGGCACCTCTCTTTCGGGCGGGGCAGTTCAGAGACCAGGGGCTGCAGCAGCTGCCCGGAAGACTCCCAAGGAGAGGGGAGAGGAGGCTGAGGGAACACTCCACAAGGGAGGGTGTTTGAAAAAGGGTGAGAGGCTGTCAGCTCTGCAGGCAAGGGGTGGCATAACAGGGGTGCCACAGAAAGAATGCAGTTGGTTAAAGGAGTCATGGACTCAAAAAGGTTGAAAACCTCTGATGTAGAAGACAGATTGATCACCACAGGGAGGGAGCGCCAGAGCTGGGGAGCTGTGAGAATGTTGGGTGAGAGTGCTGAGTTGGAAACTATAATCATTGCAGGCCAAGGATGAATGGCTGGATTAGTAGTAGCAGGAAGAAAGCTTGTGTTGGGAAGCTGTGGCAAAGGATGGATAGGCACAGAAGTTTCAGTTTGCCATGGTGTTACTTTTGGTAAATTGGGACTGAGGCCTAATCCGCATAGGAATGAGGCTAAGGTTGAGGTGGTAGTGAAGGTGCCTTGAAGGTGCTGGCAGGGATGTCTGTGATGCTGAGGCCTTGGCTCTGAGGCAGCAGTAAGGTTGATGGGTGGCAAACCTCAGGCAGTCATAATTGAAGTTCTGTGGGAAGGGGGAGGTCATACTGGAGCTAGAAAACACAGATCCTGGCTTGAGGGGGCAACAGAAAAAGCAGGAGGGAGCAGGCCGAAGAGGCTTGTAAACAGGTGGTGGAAGGTGAGGTTGTGTAAGTATGTGAGGGATGCAAGACATACAGGTAGAAGGATTAAGCAGAGTGTGGGCATTGCTTGGTGTGGGATGAGGGATGCTGGTTATTTTTCAGAGTGCATGTGGGGGGGGGGGGAGATAAGTGACAAAGGGCTATTGGCCAGGGAGAGATGGAGTACTTAAATGTGTCTGAGGAGGGAGGAATATCCTTCAGCGCTGTCCAGAAGAATGGTGAGAGGGGGATGGTGGAGGAGAGAGGAGTCTGGGTTGCAAATGCCCTTTGCGGATAGGGAAGGCAGGAAGGGAGAGATCCAGCAGTGTTCATCTCCCCCATTCTCTGTGGAGCTGTCAGTGTCTGTCAGGGCAAAGTGGCACAAAGCGCCTTTGCATTCGTGGCACAGCTATGGAGGACCTGAGACACAGCAGTGATGCTTGTGCGTTGAACTGTACCTTGAGCTTTCTCGGAAGTACCAGAAGGGCAGTGCACCTGGGGGAAGGGGGGGGGAAATCAGCAGCTGGCTTCTGATCTCTGGGTCATTGCATCCTTTGGGGCTTGCTTTTGCATCCTTCATT